AGAAGTTAATCATATGATTCAAAGATTTAACTGTGTGATTAGATTTAATGGTTTGATCCACTGGTTATACATTAGGACCAGAATTGGCATCTAAAATGAGATAAGTTTTTCCACATCTCAATATGTGGATTCATGAAAAATATGGACCTCTTAGTGTGCTCTGCATTAGCTTGTTTTCAGTAGTGGATGAAGGGGTTTCTGCCTGGAGAGTCATCTGTCAATCTGGGGTTTTCTGGAGGAGAAAGAGTACTGTGAGTAATAGAATAAGTTTTACCCTGAATTATGTTAAGGGAGTCCAGAGTGACTCCTACCGAGCCAATTAATATAGAATAATTAGCCGATTAGTATAGATGTGACTTGTGGTCAGTTTGTTGTATCAGATGCAATTCGAACTGAAATGTCTCCCATGCTTATACTTGTAGTTTTCTGCCTCTGTTACGAAGGTAACATTTAGATGTGGATAGCTCAAATGCAAGGCTATCTACAAGTACTTTTATTGTTATTATTAATAAGCTGCGAGATCATCGTTAAAGCCAGGGTCATTTTAGTGTCTTACAGGGGAGTTTTCTGTCGTTGCTTTCAGTCCTTTGCTAAATTTCATCTGCTTTTTTGTGCTGGGAATGTTAGAGAAACTCCGTCTGGTCTGTCAGGGTAGGCACTGTGTTCTGAGTAGGCTTTGCCAGTCGGATTCACAAAAGCAAATCTTTTCCATGGTGGTTTTAACTAACGGCCATTTGATTGCCTAGGTAACTGATGGTACCGAGTGTCGACCGTACAGTAATTCAGTCTGTGTCCGGGGAAAATGCATCCGAACTGGTTGCGATGGCATCATCGGTTCAAAGCTCCAGTTTGACAAATGCGGGGTGTGTGGAGGAGACAATTCCAGCTGCACAAAAGTCATGGGAACCTTTACCAAAAAGAGGTATTGATCTTGATTATTAGTAAATCTATCTTGTTGTGCAAATAGTAACTCTGCTATGTGCTTGCTTGCTTTCTGTCTCTAAATGCAATTTACTTTCATAGGAAGATTGAGCAAAAAAGTATATTGCCTGTGCTTTATTGCACTTTCCAGATGTTAACAGCTGGCCTCTTAACAAAACTGACAAATAATCAACTGGCGAAACACTGTACCCACTTAATTTCTGACACAAAGTGCCAGCGGTACAGATGAGCACCTCATTCATAAATAGGAAGTGTGCCTAGAATAAAGCATGGCGTCTTGTGCTACTGGCTAATTTTGCTGGTCAGATGGTTTGTGGTTTCTAGAGGAGAGAGGAAAGGGAACAGAGGAGTGAATCAGAAAGTTGTTGGGATAAAAATGATCTGGGTATCTGAAACTCTGCATTTCCCAGCTGATGCTGTGTTAGAAGGGCACATGGTGAGAATGTGTTTCATCTCATCTAACTTTAAATGACAATGAGGACATCCCACCTGATTTAGTGACACAGATTCTTTGTGTAGTTAGTGGAGAGAAGCAGATAGCATTAGAGCACAGCTGTAAAAGTCTTTCTTAATAGCTGAGAGGCATTATACCCTAAAAATGCCTTTTCACGCTGCTAAGTGTATGTGGAGCTTAGATGACTAGATGGGATGTCAGAAGTAAACGTAGGCGTAACCATGACATTTGTTATATCCCCTCATGTCCATTGGCATAGTATTGATCTCCAGATGGAATTTTTTTTAAGTCAAAATATTTATAGCAGTTATCCATAAGACATTTTTCTGTCAGAGTTCAGCTTTTAACTATAATAAAACTTAGTACAAGTAAAATAAAGGGAAACGCCCCCATGGTTTTCTCTGGCCACATTGAGGGCAGCAGTAAGCTTTATACTGAGATACCAATGTCAAGTAAGTCTGCTTTCTGTCTGAACTCTTATTTCCCTCCCTCTTCAAGTCTTGAGATTCATAGAAAAATTAGGATTTTTAATTATCATTTATATAGATTCCCAGGTCTCAAAGGACTGCTGTAGTGATCTACTCTTAGAAACTTTCAATTGACAATTTCTACTCAGTATCTATGACTGCGTTGTGTACTATCTTTTAAAAATGTACATAAACTTGATTTTGTTTTATATCTTCCAAATTCTTACATAGCATATGAAAGCTACGAGAAGTTGAAATCTGACTCCTGAAATGACCTTTCATTTCTATACGTTTTGACATACTGATTAATAGCAGTCAAAAATGGCTTTGAGAGTGAATTTGTTCTAAAAATAAACATAACTAATCTTCTTCCTTGTAAACCAATGATTACTTACCTAAGGATGCCAAAACACCTCTGCCAAAAAGAGTGACTTTCTGTCCAGATTAGTAATTATATAAACCAAATCTTTTCCAATTTGTAAATATTGAAATGTCTGGAATGTCTAAGTGAAGAAGACAGTATTGAGATATACTTCATGGGAATCAGTAATGATCCTTGTGCTGGAATCCAGGCTCCAGCAAAAACATAAAAGGGACTCCATGAACTCCATGGATTTCAGTGAGGCCAGATTTGTAGCATAGTTATACTTAGAGAGATTGTTACAATTATTCCTATGAAGTTACCGTCTTACTCCTCAAGTCATGCTTTTAACTGAAATGAGACTGATCAGAGAGTAAAATATTAATTCAACCTCAATGTATTCGAAAAGTTGCCCCATTTAGAAAGTAATAGTCAACTTATACGTAACAAGTATGTTCTACCTTGATTTTGATTGAATTTTGGAGTGACGAGGATTTATTTTCTACTGGAAATATTGTTTGAGACAATTTCCTTATACAAGTAATTGACTTTAAAATAAACCCTTCATTAAAATAATGAAATCTTAATTGTCTGTAAACTGTTTTTACACACAAAAGGGCAGGAACTGTAGTAAAATTATCTTTTCCCCACTGGAAAGTAGCAGCTCCTACATTGCTGTCCATTAGAAACCAAACCGTACATTAAATGTACAGGGAAGCTATTAAATCTACAAGGGGAACTAGTATTTCCCATTGCAGACAATTGCCGTAACATTTGTTTGTACTTTTTTCTTTTAAAGCAGTCAAAACATAATCTGGAAAACTTGCTTCCTTGAAACTTTTTTTAAAAGGCTCTAAAGCCAAATTGTCAGAAGTTGAGAAAGAGGAGAACTGAGGCTGCACGTGCTTCTTTGCAGCCGTGGAGTGTTACAGTTCTTTGTGCAGATGACTTGAATTCTCCAGCATTGCTTTTAGTTTTTGCACAAATGGTTTTGTAACTGTAATAACATGTTTTAACAGAATTATTTTGGCAACTGTTATGTAAAAATATTTGTGCAGTGCTGTAGAGCAGAGTGCCCCCCTGTTTTTCGCACCATATTCCTTCAGCTTTATGGAGGTGCTAAATCAATAGAGTTTTAGTCGTTGTCCCATAACTGCTGCAAATAGCAGGGGAACAGCACAAGCGTTTAATCTGTAGTCTGTGCAGTCTCTTCATGTGCAGCCAAAAATTCCCAAAATTAGCAGTCTGTTCTTTAGAACAATCCCAAAGCAGACTCCTTCATTTTTATATATTTTTAGTGTATTTTCTCATTCTTTTTTTTTAAAAAAGTTTCAGCACTAAACTTTTCAGATACAAGATACTTGCAGAATGGTTTTGTCACAGGTTTAGAAATGAAAATACATGTTTCCGAAGTCCAGGTGGCATCTTATAGCTGTGTATAGTCTTTAGATTTTTTTCTATATATCCGTAAAGTTAAAATAAATAACATACTTGAGATAGTGATAAGTTCCAGCACACTTGCAGGTTTCGAATGCTTGTCACTTTCAGTAGAAGAGTTAAATATCTTTTTCTAAATCTGAATTAAGATACTTTATAAGTAGCAACAGAGGGAAGTCTGTGATGGTACAAATTGAACATTTGGGTGCCCCTCATATTAGACACTTGACAATTAATCTTCGTCTTTATGAATTTCAAAGTAAACAAATTTTTTCTCAGTGATCAAGATTATTTTTAAAAGTTCCCAAGGTACCTCTACCCAGCTGTTACTCAGCTCATGCTTTCCTTAATCATCATTATAGCAAAGACAGCAAGAAACAGCTGTAACCAATGCATATCTCATTATCTTTTCCTTGGCAGGCAAAGCACGCATCATATTTCATATCTCCCACCCTTTGCTGAAATGTATAAGCTATCTGTTATTTTTCATTCCTCTTGTATCTGACTCACGTAAAATTGTTACTAAAGCTAAAGATTAAGCAATTTGAAATAAGCGCAGTAGAAATTTCTTCAAGAACTTAAAGAACAATACAGTAGACAAACAGTGGAACCTGGTTAAATTAATCTTAGATGAGCCTCAAGCCAGATGGATTCAGGGCCTGAACTAAAACGAAGCAAGATGTGTCATGCCAGTGACTTCATCAGGCATTGCAGTAAGACTTGAGGCTTATTTCACGCTAGCTACTGAATGCTTTTGTTTTTTCCCTTCATTCAGCAAGGGCTACACAGATGTAGTGAAAATCCCGGAAGGGGCAACCCACATCAAAGTTCGGCAGTTCAAGACTAAGGACCAGAGCAGGTTCACCGCCTACCTGGCCCTGAAAAAGAAAAACGGTGAGTACCTTGTCAATGGAAAATACATGATCTCCACTTCAGAAACAATCATTGACATCAACGGGACTGTCATGAACTACAGCGGCTGGAGTCACAAAGATGATTTCTTGCACGCCATGGGACACTCTGCCACAAAAGAGGTTCTTATTGTGCAGATACTTGCGACTGATCCAACTCAACCAGTGGATGTCCGCTATAGTTTCTTCGTGCCGAAAAAGCAAGGGCAAATGACTAACTCCGTCACCAGCAGTGGCAGCGGCGGCAGCAAAATAACTCCACAGCTCACGCAACCCCGCTGGGTTACGGGGCCGTGGCTTTCTTGTTCTCGAACATGCGACACAGGATGGCACACCAGGACTGTCCAGTGCAAAGACGGGCATGGAAAATTGGCTAAGGGATGTCTTCTCTCTCAGAGACCGTCAGCATTTAAACAGTGCTTGTTGAAAAAGTGTTAACCTGTGGTTTCGATCTTCTTTAAAAGAGGTTTGATTAAGCCATTGTTGACATACTGGTATTAGGTCGGCCCAGACAGAGAGAAGCAAAGGCTTCAATGTACTCTTGCATACAGTCTCAAATTATGGGCAGAATCTGCCTATTTGGACCAAATGAAGATGTGCACTGCTTTAAATAATAGTAGGGTGATCTTAATATGTCAAAAAAGTAAGCATTAAAGTTGTTATAAGCCCTCTGTGTCTGCAAAATATAAAATAAAGTAATGCAAAAGAAGAAAAACTAGTGAATGGAGGATCCTGAGATATCTGAAGGTAACAGAATCATCTCCCCTTTTTCACCTACCTCTAATACAGTATGTCCTTAGAAAACATCACATGTACTCATGATACCACGGTAGCTTATTTTATACTGTTTTGTAAGTATCTTTCATTTGGTATGTCACTTTATATAACTTGGTTCTATTAAAAAATCTAAAGACAAAATACATAAGCAAAGTGATTGACCAAAGTATATCTGCAGCCCTTGTGGACTTGGTCCACTCTTCAGAAAGGGCTGCAGATGTTTTACTGGAAAATGAAGAGCTTGCTGCTGGTTTTAAAAAGTAATACGTTCTGGTTTTGACAAAAGGAAACATTTTCATGCTAGGAATTTCCTGACCGCAGATCATTATTCTATGACAAATTCTGTGTTTCCACCGAGAAGTTCTCAGAAGGAGCGTTGCAGCAGCTTGCAGACCAGGGATCCCCACACGTACATTGCTCAGATACCAGCACCATCAGCGACTCCTCACCATGTGTATGTCTGACACACACAGAAGGAGGATTTGGCTGCTAGAAGGAATTTGTGTACACTTCGCTTGTAAACCTTCCACTAGTTCCAGCTGTTGCACAGCTTGGGGTCGTTGTTGTCGATGAGCAATAGCTGCTAGCTGCTTCTTTCCATAAAACAAAGGCATACTGTATTTTGTAGAAACTAGTTAGGGAACCAAAAATTACAGGTAAGATAATCAAGTGTCTTCTAACTCAGATATTCTGAGGCTGTGTTCAACTGCTTTCTCTGTTATTTTCTCTATGGCTTCCACCTTGAATCTAACAATGTGTAATGCACCTACATCTTCTGAAGAGGCTATAAAGGTCAAAAAAAACACAGCAAGCAGTTAATATTTTATCACTGTTTTGTCCATCATGTCTAACTCTGGTATGCATCCTACCAGCAAAAGTTTGTAACTGTTTGTCTTTTTTGATTGTTTTGTGTGTGTTTTGGGGTGTTTTTTTTTTAAAGCTATAGAAGGCATTCATGTTCTATATATCTACCGCATTCGGGAGGAAGAGGGGTCACTAGGAAGTCAAACCACATCAGGATGTGGAGGACTTGCCCAGTATCAATAAGACTGTTTCCACAGTACAGGCAGTAGCTGGTAATAATTTTCATTGGCAGCAACTTCTGAATCCCGTTACAGTTTGGTAGAAGTTCTGTGAGGACAGGCATTTTACCTTCTGCAGGTAACAGATGGAGGCCTGATAGCAACCTTGTTAAAATTGCTTCCTTCTATATCAGCAGGCTTTGAAGTAAGCCCTAGGATAACAGGTACCTAAAGACATGGTTATAATACGCTGATGAAAATGGAATCCCATCTGTCTTTTATTCCTTCGTTCATCCACACAGGAGAGTATGAGACTGCAGGAGGATTTTCATACAAGCCTCACAGCTGTAAGTCAGTGGTACACAAGCACTGAAATACCCCAGGCTTTTCTGAAAATCCCAATCGTGAAATCAGTAGAGAAAACTTGTTGGTATGTGTAGCAAGAGGGGCAGGTCTCGCTCCAGGCTGACACAAACATGTTTTCGCAACTGTGGCATGTTTGTATGAACTCTTAGAAAGCATGTGATGATTTCAAAACAGCGTAGAATTGCTCCATCTACAAGTATGAAACCTGGAGGAGTATCTATTTTTGTACGCTGTTCTAAATAAACAGTAATAGGGGCAGGGCCTCCTTCTCTGTCAAAATGAATTACCAACAAACGTTATTAGTCATCTACAGCTTTCAAAAATGGTGTGGCCTTCTTGTTAGGAGTAGTCCTATTCAAAATTGTGGATGGTGAGGAAAATTACCCATTTTATCTGTGATCCCACCCTAAGAACAGATGTCAGGGCTCTGAATATTAGCAGAGTTCTGGAAAGTTAAGATTTATTCCTTCTCTACCTGTTAACAAAAGATCACTTTGAAGTGTCTTATTTTCCTTTCATGTAATCTAATTTTTATGTTTATGTATGTATTATGCATGTTCTAGAACCTCTCAAAAAAGTTCATAGCAAACAGAAACCATCATGAGAGGAAAAATAAGGAGACTTAATATGTCTCAGCGTAGACTTAACATTTGTTTCAGCATACAGCTGCTGTATTAAGTGGCACTTATTTTTCCTATGTTTTATCATCATAGAGACAGAATGTGCAAGTATTTTTGTTTGCATCATAGTAATAATTTATTATATATTCAACAAGATGAGTAAAGCTTTTGGATGGTATTCAGGCTCCAGAAGAGTAATACCATACACGGGTATAAATTTAAAGCTTCCTTAGATCAAGAGTATGTTTTTTCATACAAAGAGTTTATTTATAAAAAATAAGTAAATATGAGAACAAACCACTATAGTGATTTTTCCCTTTTCACCAGTGTAGTAATGAAGCAAATCAGCATAAGCAAAAAGCAGTTGCCTTTATATGGTGAGTGGGCAAAGGGGACAGACCAAGGAAGCAATCCTAAAAGTGTGAGATAAAACTTTTTGCTGTTCTTTGTCATCAAGCTCCAATTCCAAACCTTGCTTTTTCCAGTCATAGTTATTTCACATAGCTGAGGACTGAAAAATTGGTGCAAGGTATGTGACTGTCATTTCAACTTCTCAGCTAAATTCCTTGTCTCTCACACTGTTATATCATTGTTTACATTACTACCAAGTGTTGCCAAACAGGATTTGTAAAATGCATCTACGGGGATAGAAACCTGGAGTATTGCTCTTTGCACAGAAATCAGCAATCCTCTGTGTTAAATTCACTGTTGACTCTTTGGGACACATCTCCAGTGCCCTTAGGTAGAGTTGGACCCCTAAGCATCAGTGTTTTTTAAAGCATCTGCTCCTCAAATAAGGCATTCTCACTAAAAAAAGTCTATCATTTTTGGTTTAACTGCATACAAGAAATTAAATTTAGCTGCCCTCCTGTGGAAACAGTTTTATCACAAGGGGGAGAGGGAATAATCTTGTGGATTAATCACAACTGTAAAAAAAAAAAAAAAAGGCAACACAGCACTGAAAAAAATAAAATAATTTATTGTTTTTACAACTGGTATGTGAACGGATGTAATGAATTTATTTATTCTTATTTAACAAAAATACCAATTGTGCAAATTCTATATTTAAAATGTTTTGCTATCGTCTCTGTCTCTCTCTTTCTCGCTCTCTTTTAATTTATGCTTCAAATTTATGTTGAAAGTACGCCTTGTGAGTTTACATAATGTATGGCACTGGTTATTTTTTGTATGTTTTTATTTAGAAAGCTTTCTGCATGAAACAGGAGTATATGTGTATACATGTGTGCACACTGTATAGATGTATATTCTTTTTCTGCTACCATCTTAGTGAAGTTTTAGATGTTTAATTTTGTGGCACCTCACGCTCAAAGCTCTTTGTTACGCTTCACTTCTAAAATCTCTCAAGTAGCAAGTCATGAAGGTCTCTGGACCAAAAGTAACCATACCAGCTCCCAAAGAAGTCAGGCAACAGACTCGCTTCGCACAGGCGCGTGGCGTTCATGCAGCATGCCTCAGTGATTTACCTCCGAAGCTGGTAGGCATCTCAGCCTCTGCTTCTGTGGGAGCAAGTTCAGGCTTCTAGTAAATGAGAGTCCTCTATATGTGAATGAAGTTTCTCTGAGTTGTCAGGGTGTTAAGTGAGTCTTCTCTCATGCAGCTTCTTATGTTTAAGTGAAAACACTGCAGAGAAACTCGTGTGCCTCTAAAAATATAGCTGAAACAATGTGTGATTTGGTTTATGAAGACTGAACCATTAAAAAAGATATTTTTTCAGTCTTTCCACCATTTATATACATATATTAATATGTATATATGGCTCTGAAAAGTCAAAAGTCCAATGGGAAAGGCTTTGCAATGTTTTACTTCATTGTATTCCAGCTCTTTGCACCACATCAGGTGGTGCAAAAAAGCCAGCAAAGCATGCGTGCCCAGTGTTTCCTTGAAAATAACAGTAGCTGTTTGCTGCCACTTTTCATCCAGTCCAACTACTGCTGAACTGAAGGGAACTTGTATTGGGCCCAGTGTAAGGAAAAAGATGTGATACAGACAAACCTACAGCTTTTCTACAGTTGCTTTATTTAACACTACGAAGGACTTTTGTCGCCACTTCACTGTAAGGGCGGTGCTACAGGCTGCAAATAATCTGTTTCAAAGTGCTGAAAGTTATCTTGCTTATCAGTGCCCACATTCAGGCAGGTTAAATTCCAGCTCAGCCTCTCTGCCCGGTGTCTGCTGCCATCCAGGCACTGCCAAAGACCCAGAGCCAGCCACAAGGCTTTAGATGAAAATGCAATGGCCAGTGCGTGATGCTTCCTTACTGAAGACCCGCTCCAAAACACCAGGGATTGACTATAACCCTTGACTTTGACGATCTCTAGATCTAGGACTGGCTTTAAACAGGATTTGCAAGGATGAATCATCAACAGTTGTGGGGTTTCAGCAATAAGTTTAGGTGAGTGTTTCACCTCATGCTGGGGAATGCCATGCTGCTCTCAGCCGCTGAGGAAGATGGAGCCTGTGACAAGAGGCAAAATTAGATTCTCTGAGCATGGGCTGCAGTTTTCATTTTAAAAATTGCTGGTTTGGAGGGGTTTGTTCTTTTTTTTAATTAAGTGATTAGTTTTTATAGAGTTGCCAGGGTGCATCATGGCATTCAAACTTGTCATTGGTAACATTTTCAAGAGGGTTTTTT